GGTGATGGAAAAATTGATTGAAATCCTTTCACCTGCCAAGTGAAGGCTGGGTTTTTTTTTTCTTCCCAAATCGGTTTCAGGGAATTAGTTTAAGACCTCTGTAACACTCTGAAATGGTTAACTATTAGGATGACCAGATCATTTTTTTCTCAGTATATTCCATCTTTATATAGCATAAATGCTGACTTTCAAAGACACATATTCTTCCCTAGGCCATGAGAATGAGAATTTCAAGAGCAAGCTCTGGTTGCTCAAAAAAAGAATGGTATATGCAAAAGGTTAAGATTACTATCTTTAACACTTGCATGCCATCAAAATGTTTGGGGCACTTTGTAGAGAATACATTAAAATTAATTTAGAGCACTGTACCTGAATTCATAATAAGCTATTGTTTCAGTTTTTTGGCACAGCAGAAGATGAAAATAGGGAATTTCTGATGCATGTTTAAAAAACTCCGAAGTTGTAACCAGGTGAACTATGATCTAATTTTCATCTATAATGAAAACTAAAACACAGTTTCCTAAAGCATTATTTTTGGCTTTCACCACTTTAAAGGTATGCAAACATAACCACTTACACTTCCTTAATATAGTTTAACAACGATAATGATTATATCACAACTGCAGCGTGTTTGTTTTTTTGGCATTTCTTCCACTTTGTTAAAATATTTTTTGGCAATATTCAGAGATAATTTAGTTTGGAAATAATAGAAGAAAAAATAATTATGAAAAAACAGACAATACTAACTAAAGTAGATCTATTACTGTCATGCAGGAATGAATACTCCTTTCAACAAGTCTATAATTTGCAGAAGTTGAAAAAAAATAGCCGTAAGGTGACTGTTAACATACTTTAGTTCATCCTGCCAAGAAAGTTAACTTCATAAAGTCATTAAACCAGTGATTAGGTTTTAAAATATTATTCCCCAGTCGTTTCTTCTTAGATTTTTAAAATAAAGATGCTGTATATACTACTTTCTTTGTAATGTAGAAAATTGTAAAATATGCTTATTTTTCATAAACTCTTAATTATTAACAGAGCTATTTGTGCTGCTGTAGTTAAAGTTATTTCAGTACTTCTGTTATTAAACCTTCATTTTAAGGGGTTTACAATTTGACTGTAACGAAAATATATTCCAACTCTGAGGTCTCAGTCATTTTTTCTCCTTTCAACAAAATTTGGCTTGGGTTGTTTGTTTGTTTTTGCTAAGAAGCAACATACTTTTGGGTACTTTCTGTGTATTAAGATAACCCCAAATAAAATGTTGTTTCAGTGTGTGCTATGTATTTTCAACCATTTAAAGTTTTATTTTTTGTTCATTTGTTTTCTAAATGACGACAGCGTAACTTGACATTTAAACGTAAGCACTTTCTGTTCCCAGCACCGAGTTCTCCGATTGGGCTCGGTACCGAAGAACTTCCTTGCGGGGGCGGTGGGGAAACAATCCGATATCTGCATCAGACGGCAGAGCCGGGCTCACACCACTTCTTGACTACTGCCGCAGGACTCAGAACACTTATTTCCCAGCAGCACCTGTAGTCGGCGGCAGTAGATCTAGTAGCTGTGGCACCCTGGGAAGCCACTTCTTTTGAAGCTGATTCACCTCCCAATCAAACCAACTGACCTTGGTTGTGCGTGGCTGAAAATGAACTTCCAACAGAACTGCTCAGGGGTGTTGTGCATCTTCTCTGCAACAACCTGAAACCCACCTTTCTCACACAACATGACCACAGTCGACTCTGTCTTCAGCAACATCCGCAGTCCGTGCGTAGAGAAGGAGTGAGGGTACATCATGCATTAATAGGAAATGCATAAAGGTCCTACGTGCCAATTCATTATCATGCTAATTGCAGCTTTGCACTTAGATGTTGCAGTTCGTACGAGTCAATTATAAGTGTGCTAGACTATAAATACATAATTTGAACCCATCCTGGACTGTGGGGTACATATTTTTTAAATAGATTGTTTAAATACATGTTTACCTGAGTGTGTTCCAGTTTTGCAGGTAGCCATTCAGAACTAGTTCTGGTTTCCTTGGGTAAATAATTTATATTTTGTAGCCCTGCGTGAAATAATTACTTTCCTGTTTTGCCTTTTTTTTTTTTAGGCTAAAGATATTAAATGTCAGAATGTCAGAGGCACATTGTTGTTTATACTAAATTAAGCAGGTATAACAAAAAGCAAAAATTTCATGGATAAAGTTCCTGTTACGTTTATATAAACTAAGCGTGTTACAAGTGACATTTATCTTGCTGTCACCGGTATAACTCTATTAAAGCATTAAAGTATTACTCTATTAAAGTGTAACTTGGTAGCTTTTTCCCTATAAATCATTAATTAGGTGGATAGGCTGTAGAGTCACTTTCACGTGAGTTATATTTTGTCACCTCTTCACATCTTCATTATGATTTGAAAGAAGATATGTCAACTTCCCCCAGAAATAGTCAGCTTTTTATGATTTGAAGATGAATGTTTTAAGAATAACGCCAATGCCTTATAGTTGTGATACTTTTTCTACTGTGAACTGTTCTGTTGGAACATATTTTCCGTTTGAGTATTTCTACAGTTGTTTTATATGGTATTTGAAAAAGCTGTATTCTATTATCACCACGCTGAGGTCAGTTTTCAAAACGCTTAAATTTACTGGTCCAAAGTCACTCTTGGAGTAATTCCATTGACTTCAGTAAAGTTACACCAGGGATGAATTTGGCCCATACTTGGTAAATTATTCTTATCCAGCCCCATATTTATATTTTATGTTGGAAATATAAGTACCTTGTGTGTCCTCAAACTAATCAGAATAAGAAGCAGTTTTGCCTTTGCCAAAAAATAGAACTATCATTTTTCACATTCTTACATTTTCCAGTTCAGTTTCAAGTCAGATTATGTTACTGTAACTTCTGAATTCCTGAAAACTCCCGTCTCTAGCTGCAAAGGCCCAGCCGAGCATTTCAAGGGAGAAAATTTGAAGCTTTTCATGCAGTATGTTTTGTGTTGTGCATTCCAGATGCAGTTAACGTTTTGTGTGTATGTGATTAGTGTGGAAAAAAAATTAATGCAGTCTAGTATTATGATTTATGGACTGAATCCTTTGCCCACTGAACACTTGCCAAAATGAAAATCTTTTTTTTTTTTCCTTTGGATATTAGAAACAGCTACTGTTTTTGTTGATCTTTTTAACTTCTGAATAGGCCCATTTCAAGTCATAGCAGCATGGGAGCTCAGATTAATAATATACTTATTCAGCCAGTGATACTGAGTAAAACTCTGGCTAGTGTGGGTATGAAGGATAGAGTTTCTTAAAATTATTTTCAGGTGCATTAATGCATTTCTGAAAGTGGTGCATGAAGATATTTTTGCATGGAAATAAAGCAGATGTTTACTGATTGTCTCAGGTGGCGGGTAGGCACATAAGTCATAATGTCATTGTATTCTTTTATCATAAACTCATACGCTGGACAAAAGTCCTCCTTACTAGCTGATGGAGACAAGGGCAAAAGCAAACAACCTCTGAAATTTTCCTTCCTGGGCAGTGTTTCCCATCATCAGAGTACTTGCTAATCCTATGAGGTCTCAGTTTTATCACTCCTGATATTCAAAGTTGTTGTGAGCCTTATCCAGAGGTCATCAGAGTTAATAGAAGGAAGCTCACTGATTTTGATGAACTGTGGATTAGCTTTCATTAGCCTGCAGTTTGTTCATGAGTTTGCTGTGTGCTGCATAGCAACTTAAGTTATATAGTCTGAGAGTGTGAATTAGCCCCATTTCCTTCACTTTGCACTGGGTAGAAGAGGGTTGCCAAAGCTATATAAAAGATCACAGCACTGCTTGTCCCAGAATGCCTTCTGGCCTTCTCAAGGGCTCTTTGCTCCCTAGACAGAGGACTGAATGGATTTGTAGACCTTTAGACCACAATGGTGACAACGATGAAGTGAGCTTCAGCCCACAAAAGCTTGTGCTCTCTCTGTACATCTTATTTAGTTAGTCTATAAAAGTGCATATCTCCCCAGCCTTTTGACTGACTTCAGATCCACACAGCTAACTACCTCTCTGAATACAGATAAAGACCATTCTTTCCCTTCACTCTCCCTTGGCAGCCATGGTTGCAACCTTATGGCATTGCTCAAGTCAGTCCTTGCGTCTCAAGCTAATGGTGAAGTCCTACCTCTAAGAGAGCTTTTAGTGACTTCAGTGGTGTTAGTATTTTGCTTTAATTCTTCTATCGCTCCCAAATGGTAAGAGAGCATTGGTAGCTTAGTCTTCACATAAATGTAATTGGTGTTGATGCTGGTACAAGGGAGACAGGAGATTTCCCCTGAAAAATTGCTTATAGAAATGTATAAAATTAATAAATGTTGCGGCTTTAGAAATCTGAGCAGAATCTGTTAACCTGCCACCTTTAGAGAGTAAGGTGACATGCTTTTACTCCTCGTGTCCATTCTTTGCACTGGGACAGTTGGGAGCCGGATGAAAGGAGTCTGGGAAGAGAAATGGGTTTGTTATGCTCTGAAATGAAGCAATATGATTGCTGCGATATTATATAGTTTGGCCGGGTACACTTACCCAGATAAGTGACTGGAAACCAGTTTATACCTGTAACAGAACAGAAGTTTGGCACACGTAGATTTGTTTAAAACAGTGGACCCTGGACTAAGATTTACCCTATCCCCTCTGCTCCCCACGCTCCACCAAAGGGCGAACGTGTCTTCTGTTCACTACCCATCGAAACTGTGCCACTTACAGAAAACCGCATAACAGATCGAGTCCGCTTCAGGCTTTTTGAATGTCTCTCCCTAGCCTTTACGGCTGGGATTTTGGTTACTAGGTGTTGGGTGCCCGAGTCCTTTTCGGCAGTTTTGAGTGCCCTAGCCTGTATTTGTAAGATATATATTTTGCAACGTGTTGCTACACAGTGTATTCATTTGGACTCATTTCCAAACCTAGCAACGCAATGCAGAATATAGAAGCTGTCCTATTTAACATTTCTTGTTTTTTATTAGTTGCAGCAAGCAGCTGAAGTTTCTCAGTTGAGGGGAGCACGAGTCATCTCTGCTGAAGATCTTCTGTTTTTGATGCGCAAAGATAAGGTACAAGAATCAGGCATTTTGCATTGTAAATAATGTGTTGCTCGTGCATATGATACAAGTGTAATCAAATACACAGGGATCCAACATTTATGATTAATAGCTTGGACGTGATGGACTCTGCCTACTAACATAACTGTCTTCTGTCTGTCACCATCCGGCTTTCTAGCATCCTTCTACTTGGCGGTGCTGTGGATTCTGGTGCAGCATTCAGCATAACACTATCCTTCAATCTCTTCAGACTTAAGCTGTCACTAAATCTATTCTTGTTCTTCTTGATATTTCCCAAACCTCTCTCTCTGGTCTACTCTCTTGTCCCAGCTTCTAATACCTTTGTCCCAGCTTCTAATACCCTTGTCCATGTCCTGGTCTTCCCTTGCCTTGAGTACTGCTGCCCCCCTCATATTATATCAGTTAATTGTGAATTTTTCAGTTAAAATCAGCTTCTGTATTCATAGATCTAGGTTTTTTTCTTTCTTACTTGAGTCTCTCATCAGACCTCTGGTCTTAGTCTGCAGAAAACATTAATGTTTGATGCTCACTTTCAATAACCTACACTACCTACATTACTTTACTGCTGACTAGATCTCACATTGCCATTTCCTACTCTACCATTCATCCTTCATGCTCTTCCTTTTCTGAGAATGAGGCTACAGAAAAACGTTTTATCCATGTTCAAAATTTTGTCAACCTTTTCATTCTGTGACCTGCATGCTTTGGAACCGAGATTGAAAGTTTGCAGCGACACGGTGTTTGTGTCAGGAAAATCCCCATAAAAACCCAACCAAATTGCACCACGTTACAAGCCTTTGAGAAATGGTTAAGTACTATGCTGAAGAAATGGTTAACTCCTTGCTATAGTCTCCTCTGCAGCGGGAATGCAGAAATGTGGATCTGAGCAGAATGTGCCTTGCCTTTGTAGCTCTGGTCTGCTCTGGACCACGTCTGCATCAGAACCAAGAGCAGGGGCCCGACTCTCTTGCTCTGTCAATGAGCCCCATTGCCTTTTCAGTGTGTTGAAGGAAGCTGAGTTAGCTTCAGAAAAGAAAAGAGCCAGACCTAAAAATGGTTGGGCAATAAGATGGGAATGAGAACCTTGGATAAAGATAAGACTGATCCTACAGAGACAGTGTTGAAAGCATCAAACTTGGGGGAAGTGGATAGAAGAGTCTGCACCTGCTAGAGTTCACTCCTCTCCAGAATGTGGGTTGCATCCCAAGGGTCTTGAGCCCCAGCGTTTTTCTACTGTTAATAAAAAATTGTGAAGCTCTGCAGTGTCCCATCCCCACTAGTGTTGGTCTATGCAGAGGATAACAACCCGGCTATAAGTTACTCTCTGAAGTCACATGGCTGAGGTCTGTGGTGTGAATCTGTAGATTCCGGCCCTGCTGCTGACCTTGCAAGTGTTGATTTCAAGCTGCATGATGGAATTCCTCATTTTAAAAAATTGCTGTTTGAAACTACAAAACTATGCATGCACGCACACACACGCACAATATTAAAGAATATTATTAATATTGCAAAATTGGGCACTCAAAAGCTGGATTGCTGAGTTGAAGGGTGCCTTCTTGACATTGCAATATCCTAGTCTTTACATTCTCTTACCTTGGACACTTTTCTCATTCAGCCACAGAATACGATTTCTCTGGCATGAGTTGGGGTTGTGTAGCAATGGAGGCTGTTATCTACAAGACATTTTCTGCAAGGATAAAGCCTTGGAGATATAACTTTCCTTTGTCCCATTAAATTTAATTCATTCACATCTAGCAGTTGTAGTTTCACCACATGCCTTCAATTCCCAAGGAAGGCAGGAAAACATCGAAAGAGAAAGGATGGTCCCTGGTGAGGACAGAATTAATAAATATTTTTTATTTTAGTATCTCTGTTTCACTTTCTAACTTGTAAAATGAAGATAACAGTTCCTCTGCGTGTTTTAGGGGGATTGGGAGCATAAACAGCCTGTGAAGATTGCAGGTAAAATAATAGTGAACACCATAGAGGAAATCGAGAACTCTGCCTTTGATTGCTCTGTGAATTAAGCGTTCATTAAATGAGTGCCATTCATTTTAAGCAGTAAACAAGGCAGGAATTGATCAATTAAAGATTGTATTATATAATCACGGGAACCAAATGAGGCTGGCACAAGTAACCATAAGTCTGGTATTTTGTAACTTTTGAATCCTTGATTTTGTAAAATTAATGTTCTTTTAATGCAGGGTTTTTAAAAGGAAATATACTATTCATATCGTTTTCTTCTTCCTTCGTTCCTATGAGGTGGCGAATTCCTACTCCATCTGGTGTCCTCTCAGTGGAGCATACGCTGCTGAGTCCCTGTGCTGGGCCTGAGGTGGAGAGGGATGTGGTGCATCAAGAAAGCCTAGCAGGGTTCCCTCCTGCTGACTATGGAGTGTAGTTTTGGGGATGTTGCTGCTCTTCCATTGCGTGTCCAGAACATTTGTGCTCCTTTATACTCTGTACAGGCTGCCAGTTTTTCCCCTGCAGATGCAAGCAAGAGACAGAGAATGGAGATTTAAAGCAACAAGTCTCAGAAAAATCTGAATGGAATTTAATGGGACAAAGTAAAGCTAGGTTTCCAAGGCCTTGCCCTTGCCCGATTGCATAGGCCAACTGCATACAGTGGATAAAGCAAAAAAAAAAAAAGGCCACAGGAAAAATGTTTAATGAAGCTAAGCAACCAAAACATAAGGATGCAGATAACTCTATGCTTATAAGGCCCTTGAAGCTGTGGGCATATTTTTAAAAGTAACTAATGATTTTGAGTGCCTACCTTTAAATGCCCTAGAGGTATACCTGCCCAAAGTCACTAGTCACTTTTGGAAATTTAGGAAGTTTTAGTTGGGGCTATTTTTTCTCTCTTTGCACTGTGAGAAATGGCAATTTCATTATAAAAAGCAGAAGCCCCTGTGGAATTCCTCTCGACCTCAGCTGGACTTCCTCATTCAGGGAGCTGCTGCAAAATTGGAGAAATATTACGTAATTACTGGGTGCATCTACACGTGAAATTAGGGTGCAGCAATAAACTTTGGCTCTGTTTCATCCAGAGGAAGGGGCTCCCAGGCACAGCATCTACATGTGCGCCCAGGACTGCAGCACTGAGCAGGGATGGAGCAGCCCTGGGCAGGCAGGAGGACCAGGGGGGTCAGCCCTGGGTTCTGGATGGTGGCATCAAGTAGCAGATGGTCTGGCTGGGGCACAAGGGTGCTAAAGTGTGGGGGCTAGGTGGCAGGCAGCCCCCCTATTTTAGCATCCATGTGCCCTAGCCCGCCCCTGTCACCATCAACACATGCTTTACAGTGCAGACAGTTACTCTGCCGTAGGATAGTACTGTCCCTGTTAACTTACTGTGCCCTGATATCGGTGCATGTGTAGACAGTAATGCTTTGCTGCATAACTAATTAGTCAACCCCACAGTAAAACACACGTGTAGCTACACCCGCTGAGTGCTATACTATGCCATGCTATGCTATATATAGATATAGAGGCCAGTAAATAAATAATATAATGTGTGGGTGTTCCATCACGTCCTAACCCTGTAAGCAAATATTTTGTACGTGTTTTGTTTAATGCTAACATGCTCTTTTTTTTCCCTCTTCCCCACGCCTTAGAAAAAACTGAGAAGGCTGCTTAAATATATGTTTTTCCGAGACTACAAATCTAAAATTGTCAAAGGCATTGAAGATGATGATCTTGTTGAAGGTATAAAAACTTTGAGATGAGTTTGCCTTTTGCCAGTGTTTTTGTCTATCCTGATATTATATACCTCATCTAGGTAATTTTAGATACCCAAAATATTGACATTGCAAATTCCGTTTAATTTGGTGCTTTTCCATTCAGATTACTTCATAAAAGTGCAAGCCTTCTATACACCTTCTAAATGATAAGAGGGACTGTTTAATGTCAGAGCTCTGCTGAAATGAGAGACAGATGCTGATTAAAGACTGATTGATTTCAGTATGTGTAATCTACACGTGGTAGCTACCATTCACAAAACAGGGGTGCATGGCTTCAAACTCCATTTAAACGGGCATTAAAAAAATATTAGCGGAGGTTTTTTACCTTTTTTTACAAAGGAATCATAAGCTAAAGTCACTTAATACTGATGTATTGCAAGGATTTCCTTCCTGTGTTTGAAGTTTGAAGCAACCAATTCATAGTTTATAAAACTGAAAAGATTTTTGCTTCTCCACTTTATAAGCAAGTCATAGAATTTATAACAAATGGACCTAAAACCAAAAATCTATTCAATTTATAAATTGTCTTCGATTGAGTTCAACTGAATTAAATGGATCCAGTGAAGCTTGCTGATTTACACTAGCCACTGCCTTTTATTTGTAAACAGTAGTGTGAATTGACTTTAGGATATGAGCATTTATGAAATATTTTTTTCCTCCATGTGTTGACACAGGACACGTGAAGACGCTAGTATCACATTGGTCTAGCTTGTCGTAACAATAACTGTCATTGTTTTGAATTAAAAAGCAAACATCTATCTTTATAGAAAATGAATTATATTTTACTTTATATACTTGTTAAAAATAATTTCCACTTTTGCTTGAGTTTATCCCTGATATCTGCTCTTTATACTGTTTGTGAATATTGCCAATGGCCAATGACTATTGCTTTTTCTTTTCTGACCAATACTTGGGTGCATTTTTGTAAGCCCTTTTGAGATTTTACTTTCCACCTTTCTCTGGCATATGTTATTTTCAAAGCTCTGAGGCACAGCATTAATGTTTCACTCTTGATGAAGTACAGTAATACCATCCTACTCCCAGAGTGTTGTTTTTTTTTCTTTTTTAAAGCTCAGCTCCATGCCGTAATTAAAAAAAAAATTGAAATAATCTTCTGGAAATCACTTATATGCTTATGAAGATGCCACCTAAGAAGGAAGCATTCATCTGAAAAGTTAGGCTTAAATTGTCAAACAGGCCATTGAACCTATGAATTATAAGCAAACTGCATTTTGCAGCATTGAGTTTTGAACATTAAGTTTTGTCCCTGGAGCTAGGATTATCTTCTTAGTTACTAGGCCATGTCGCCAGCTATCTTGGTGGTTGGCAGTGGAATAAAAAAATTGTCTGTGGATCCACTCATGCTGCTTAAGGGTTTGCTTGATGATCAGCTTTAGCACATGTATGCATTTGAGAAGGATTTTTTCCTACATATATTGAGTTCTCTGAGCTTGTATGAGAGCATGGAAGAAGAGTCACTTCCCTAGGAGGATCTTGTAGGAATCATTTAGGAGAAGAAAGGACTTAAGAGTATTTCCACAGGTAGCAGGGAGCCCAGTGGCACAGTTGGCTTGGTGGGCATTTTGAATCAAGTGATGCACTGGGGGAGTCCAGGTTGATAGTGTACCCTCTGTATAGTGTATGAAAGGCCAGGTAGGATGTTTGTTATTGAAGTCAAAGTTTGTGAGATGATTTTTATTTCCCTAAATGTAGATCATGTCCACACTGCTGTCAAGGAAATGCTTCTCAACAGAGTTCATTAGCCTGTACTTGGCTATGTGCGGCTAGCCTGCTACCGCTACGACACGTGCTAGTTTAAAGCTAGCTTGGGTAGCACTATCTACACTACATTTGTGTTACCTTGCTGACTGCAGTGCAGGCATATTCTCAACCTTTGGGTCAGGTGCGGCTAAGGATGGTATGATAAGGTAGCGCACTTCCCAGATGCAATTTTTTCCTCTTTGACGCTGGCTTGTGTGTGGAGTTGCAGATTGGGATCCTATTTGAAGTTGATCAAATAGACAGAATTAAAAGAAAGTAATTTTCTTCCTTTTTCACACCATTCTTTTTCAGACCAGACCTCACTTTTTTGATTTTTTTTTTTTTTTTTCCAAAATGCCAGCAAGAAAAAGGTTTAACAATTCATGACTAACTGAAAATTTAAGTTGTCTGTTACTTAGTGGGAGGTATTTTTACAATTTACTAAAAAGTCCTTCACATGTAATTTCATGAATGTATGTCAGATGATATAAAGGATCTTGGATACACCAAAATAAGGGACCTTGCGTTTTTGTCCACTTTCCTTTAGACAAATTCAACAGTAGCAGCGTCAACAAAAGGCAGAAACTTGCTCAAGACTTTCTCAACTCCATTGATCAGACTGGAGAGCTCTTAGCTATGTTTGAAGATGATGAAATCGATGATGTTAAGCTGGAGAGGATGGAGGTAATTCTTGTTCCTTCCCCCACTTGCAACTAATCCGAATATGGAAAAGAAAAGTGTAATGACTTCATACGTCATGCTGTTCTGATTGGGTTTTTTTCACCACACATAAAATTAATTGATTCCTTTTTACACAGATGGTCTAAAGGAATCTTATTTCCATATCCAGAAGAAAATATTTGCTGAGAGGCAGGGGAATGAATGAAGCGTAGTTATGAATCTTTCCATCCCTCTCATATCCCTGTTTCTCTTCTATAGACAGTGAGTTCTATTTTAAAATATTATGGTTAGGAAAGTATTAGTTGGGAGGAAGTCTTACTTATTACTCCTCTTACATGGGAAAAATATTCTCAAAGAATTAATAATGAGCATTTCTTTTCCATGAGGCATAGCTTACCAATAAAAGGGAAAGTGCTCTGTTTGCACACCACACAATCTTCAGTTTACCCTTTTCTCTTGTTGTCTTCAGAGTCTGCTTCCTGTCCTTTCTATGTGTTTAAAGTCTGTCTTCGTTACTATGTGAGCAATCTGCCCCTAATCTTACTGACTTGGTATTAATGATAGCATCTTTAAGTTGTCCTCTTTGGTTTTTAAAATGGTTTTACTTATTTTCACTGCTGTATTCAGTCCTGTTCAGCCATGTTTGCCAAAAGCACCTTTTTGTTGGTTTTCTATTGGTTGATTCAAAGGCAATCTGGAGAAGAAATAATGTAGCTTTTGTGCTAACCTCGAGTTTTGGGTCCAAGTCTTAACTGCACCTAGACCCAAATTTTTGACTTGGGGAACATAGGGCAAGGGCAGAGTGGCCATGAGCCCCAGCTTGAGAACCCATGCGCTAGAGAAATAGGTCTCCCCTCTCCTGCTACTCAAATTATAATTTAAGATCCTGAGAGGGAATGTACTTTCTTTTATTGGGTTTTTTTGTTACAGGGCCATGTACATTTTTGGCTGTATGCGAGTGATAAGTGGTAATACTTTATTAACAAGAAAACATCTAATGCTGTACCATAACTCCCTGCTGTTCTCTGCCTTCCATTCATTTATAACAGTGCAACCTTTTCTTTTTTTTTTCATCTAGTCAACTCCAAAGTTTTCCAAAAAATACGATGACCTTAGTTCTTTTGGAGCCCATGCCAAATTTCCTAGATAGGTCTTTTCTGTTGGTTTTCAAAGGATTCATTCCTGGATCACAGAGTTCACTTCATGTCCACTTACCTTCTCCCCGCCTCCTACCTCATAGCAACCCAAGAGTTTGGTTCAGGAAATGTAGGGGATGCAGTTAACATTGTAATGGGCCTGAGTCTTTTTTTACAGTAGGATTGCACTGATTTAAATCAATTCTTTTGAGTAAATTAACTTCTGATTTGCACCCACTTATTTACCTTAGATGTATTATGCTAAAGCATGGTTAATATGGGCATTTCCTTTCTGGTTTGCAACGACAGAAGTAAAACTAGCATGTTTCAGACATTCAGCTTTTCTGGCCTTCCAGCGTTCTGGCCCTCTTTTGTTTTGGGTTCATTGTTGTTGTTTGCTTAATTTTATTTTTGGGGGTGGATAGGGGAGAATCAGAGACCGCAGGGAATGTAATCCAGTCCTAAAAAGGAGAGTTGTTAGCATGTGAAGTAGTCTAGTGTATCGTATTTTCTTTGTGCAGTAGATTATGATTAACCCATGCTAAGTTTTGGAGGAAGTCCAATAGACACTTTAAAAAACTTTAACAGCCTTCTTTAAGGAATTAGTGTATTTAAATCATGAACTGTGATCTAAAGGCTGGGTTCCTTTTAGGTATCAATTACCTCAAAAATGTGTGGTTATCTTGGTTTGGACAACTGCAAACGGTTTCAGTTCCACTTTGCCCTGGGCCAAAAACATGCAAAGTTGTCCAGAGCAGATGATAAACATATATTTCTGATGTCATTATGGGCTAAACAGGATATGATTGTTTAGTGGTATGGTTTCACTTATGATACAGAAAGCAAATATTGTTTATGCTTTACGTCTTTAAAAACATTTTATAAAATTAAAGCTCAAACTACATGAGATAGCTTGCTCTTCTGTAGGGTCCATCACATACTTCTATTGCCGAGGATTACAAAAAGCCTTAAATGACTATCAGATATTAATGAAGTGGAACAAATAGTTTTTCAGTTTTCATTGGAAAATATCAGCTCATGCTGTCAAATTACCTGGCAGGGATATTCTGCAATCAAAATATCTAGCAGTTTGAATCAGCTTTCTGTGTCATTGATCTGAAACGAGCAAACTAGCTCTACGAATGATAAAAATGAACAATGTACGTGTTAAGTAACCTTAAAATTCAGGGTGTAAAGGCAGTTGTTAATAAAAGCCACAACCTCTGTCTGTTAATTTAAGTCCATAAGTTCATTGTAGTTGTGTTATCTCTTATAGTCGTTACGGTTGATATACTATTGTTGTTGACACTTGTATAATTGTAGTGGCAGTCAGCCGTGTTGACAACAAAGGCATGATTTGTGCCTCTCTCTCAGCTTATTTGACTACTATGACCCATGATTTCCCAAGGTAACAGTAAGTTACCTATAATAAAAACTCATCAAACTAACAATAAAAAAATATTCCAGCCCATAGACGTAGTTGGACTGTAGACTGTAGAAACTGGACCATCAAAAACATAGATTGTCCTGTTTAACAGGTTACAGTTTCTCCAGAGTAAATGACAACTATGATAGTCTGTTTAAAATCACTTTTAACTCATGGATTGCACTAAGTACAAGTAACATTTTCAGCGCTGACATCTCTCCAGGATTGAATTCTGTTGCTGCTGCCTCTAGTGGGTGATGGAGTCAGTGAGCACAGTGAAGCATTGCAAGTGGATTAGTTTCCTCGGCCTCTTAATAATCTCTCAAGTGAGAAAATTACAATTAGCAGTCGTGTGGGACATGGGGTGAGGAGGCATGCACTGTGCTACGTAAGCTCTTTTTTTTGCCTTTTCTACTGTTTTGCTCTTTACGGTGTGCCGTCTCACAAGCGCATTGGTACTTTAAACATCTCAGATGGCTTGTTTTCTGAAAGGCTAGCCCCAAACTGGCCTGATGACTTCACTCTCCTGTGGATGAAAGTATTTAATACATAGTTGGTGCTGCATGTTTCACCTAATAAATAATAATATATTAATGCCTAGGACATTGCTTCCCAAACATTTGCTCAGCATGGCCCCTCACTCCCAACCCCCACAACCCCATCCATTGATGTTGCAACCCCATTTGGGGTCATGACCCACAGTTTGGGAACCACTGGCTTAAGGGTTGGCTATATTAATCTTACCCATTCAAGTGCTCAAAAGTCAAGAAATGCAGGGTTAAGTTGAAGTAGAGCATTCTCATGCCAGGAAATACCAACATAGATTTACATTCGCTCTGCATGCTTAGGAGCAGATTCTTTCAAGCACTTCAGCAGCCTACAGTTTTCTGATTTTGTCATGGGCAGCTTAGAGTTAGAGCAGCCAAGGGTCTGCTCTGGCCTGTGCCACCTGGTCACGGCTCCCAGGACCACCGCCGCTGACAATTCCTGTATTCTGCTGATACCTTTTCAGCAGAGGAATGGGTACTATTTATTCTCTTTCTTCCTTCCCAGTGAGGTAAAGTGCTTGGGCTGAAGAACAGAATCTGGTATCCAGCCATCAGAGCAAGTTTAGTTTTGTTTGTAGTTTCTATAAAACTTAATTTTATTAATTTTGCTCACTAGACAGGCACCAGATATCTATTGTGTGACCATGCTAAATGCATAGGATCATAGGAAAATAGGCCTGGAAGGGACCCTTTGGGGTCATCTAGTCCAACCCCCTGCTTAGGGAGGATCACCCCCACTTAAACCATCTCAGGCAAGTGTCTGTCCAACCCTCTCTTGAAAATTTCCAGGTATCGGAATGACACAACTTCTCTAGGTCTCCTTTTCCAAGGCTTGACCACCCTTATAGTCAGAAAAGTCTTCCTAATCTCCAACCTAAATTTGCTCTGCTGGAGTTTGAGGCCATTTCTCCAAGTCCTCAGCTCCATGTATCAGGCTCTTGGAAAAGTAGCACGGGATCATTTAATTAAACCCTGAATCCTAGTGCAAAGTAAGGATTTCTTTGCTGTCATCTTGTTAGCATTTAACCATGCAAGTGCAAGAGTTGATTTTCAGCGGTTCCTAGTATTTAGGAGCACACATCCCTGGGGAAATCAATGAGGTCTGTACGCTGAACTCCCCGATGTACTTTTGAAAATCTCCACTCCAACTTCTCCTAGTGTTATTTTTTTTTTTTCCCATCAAAGATGTTTTGGTTAAATTTACTCCTATGTGCTTTCATAAACATCAGAAAAGTAAGAATTCCTGTTTATTTAAAGTGAAATTAATGGCAAAGATGATCTGTTTTAAATGTAATATTAGTGCGGCAAGTTTCCCCATCCCTTTAAAAATCATTTGTTTTATAATTGTGATATCTCTCCCCGAGGGGAAGAAACCTTCCCATCAGAAATATGAACTGACATGCAAAGGAATGCAAACAGCATCACACTGTGAATGCTGTATTTCAGTTGTTGTTCCCTTAGGATTAAAGGGAACACCATTCATCTGTCACTCTGCCTGCTAGTTTAGGGATATATTTCCAGCACTCAGATGTTACATAGCAATAATTCAGCAGCAATAGCTACCATAATGCTTTCATAGTATATTGTATATTTGAATAAACAGTGGAGGGAAAATAACTTCAATAGAATACAGTGCTTTTGAAGGAAGGCATGAAGCCAACAAAAAGTTAAAGCTGAGTTACATTTGGAAAGGGGTATGCAAAGTATATGCCTCTGTAGAAGACATAGTCCTACAAATTATACACAAGAGATATTTAAAAATGAATTACACCCGTGTACCACCTGTTCCCAGATACTCATTTTGGATCTGATTTTTCTAATAAACTCCAAATGGAAGCAATGAAGTTATTTCCATTAGTTGAAAAGCCTATGGTGAGCTATGTGAAACTCATT